TATCACGGCTTTGCACCAGTCTACCGGTACCCGCTTCAGTTCCCAGCATAAATTAAACAAGGTGTGCAGCAGGCCTGCCACCACTTCCTCTCCAGCCCTTAGCATTTCGAGTGAAACTCTATCATATCCGGCAGCCTTACCTGCTTTCATGCTTTTCATTGCTTTCATTATTTCACCTACACTAATCTCGCTACCTCTTTCCTCTTCTTTCGGAATAGCAATTGCATAGTGTCTTTGGTTTTGTTTAAAACGAAAAAATAGTTTTTTCATAGGTACACAATTTTACATAATTCTGATCTAATTAGTGCTCTTCTGGAGCGAACGTAAGGTAGGTATTGTACGATCTAAAGTGCGCATGGCTTGGTTAACGGGTATGTTTACACATTTTATCTATTCTATTAAAATAAATTTCGCACAGGAACTACGCACTTGTTTGTTTGTTCGGTTGGGTTAAGGTTAGGTTTGTAGGGATTTAAGAGCTTAGTAGGGGTTTGTAGGGGGTTTGATGGAATTTGTAAGGGTTTGTTTGGCTTGTTGAGGGATTTATAGGGTTAGGAGGGGGGTTTTAGGGACTTGTAGCGATTGTAGGGTTTAGTCTGGTTTGTTTGTTTGGTCAGCATTTAATTTTAATTTAGGTCTGTTTGATAAGATCCGTAGTCAAGAGATTCATAAAATTTGTAATTAATTTATTAATTTTATTATAACATACAATAATGATGCGCAGTGGATTTGTTTAATTTCACACTCTGTATTGTGAAGCGAGGCTATAGGGCAAACAAGCACAAAAAACTTTTGGTTGCTATATGGCTTACATCCCAAGGAATGTAGGGTATATCCATTAACGTAATTATACTTTCGTTTTTTGTCTAAAATCCATTTTGAAACCGGTATTACACAATGTTAAAGTCAAAAGCTTTTTAATTTTTTGCAAATTATTAGGAGTCCAGAAGTGCCATAGTTTTGGAAACTACCGAAAATTATGGCTTTATTTGAGTTATAACATAGAAAAACAAAAAAAAAAAAACATTGCCCCTGTAAAATTACCTAAATGGACTGTTGGCCTAACAAGCACTGAGGCGACGATATTATATAAAAATCAATTGCTGTCGGTTAGTCTCGCTAAAACTCAAAAACGGCTCGTACGCCTTTGATGAAATTTTTTGTGTGTTTGAATCCCTAAATGATGTAGATTCACATATGGAGCCGGTAGGTGGCGCTGCTTCGAGATCCAGAAATTATCCGTGCGAAGCCGGGCGTATCGCTTGTGTAGACTAAATTCCAAAGTAAAAATGTTTTACTAAACAAAATCGCGCATCCAACAAAGAATTTAATGTTTTTTTTTTATGTTTACGATTTTCTCGACCAATTTACATCGTTCTTACTGACTGGTCTTTTAAATGTAATAGTACAGTCGTATCAAAGCCCAAGAAAAACATACTTTTGATGTTGTCGGAAAAGCCGACAACGGGAAGTTATAAAAAATAATAAACTGTTTTTTTTAATTCCACACTTAAACAAATTAAATAACTTAATCAGATAATTGGTGTTACAAAAAAGTAATTATAAAAACTGTCGAATTCAATATAAACAGTTTATAACTACTTAACACTATATTTTTTATTTGAATACATATTGAAATATAAGTGGAAGCTTTCAAGTAGCACGGTCACCGAGCCGGTCCCGTGCCTGAAATTACAAAGACGGGCCTCGACCGAGCAATTACCTTTGCGCCGTGATGCAGTATACTCGTCCGAGCAAACTTGTAACTAGACTACAATCATGTTGAAGTTTGACGATCTGGAATTAGCGGCTATTGCGATCGCTCTGGACGCTGAAGAATCTGACAAATCTTCAACAACAAGCCGGGACCGAGTTCTTGCCGAGCGTTGTCCGTAGCTTGGCCGTCACTCGGTTGCCGCTCATGCAAAATATATGCAATATTAGTAGACCGTGGTACAGCCGACACTCGACTCGGACCCGACACGGTCTAGCGTGAGTCATCCTTGATAAGTGGATTTTCTCGCGCTTTGGTGGAGTGCTCCATCAACGCAGACAATTTTAAAGGTACTTTATATTAGTTGTGGTTAGACTGTGACTGTACTTAGGTACACACAATAACAATTAAATGATTCAATGAAGAAAGCGACAGTAGTGCCACCAGAGTAACCTTTTATTTTTTTGGTCAAGCTAAAATAATAACGTTCGTTACAGTTATCTCAATAGTAGTTGAATTTATGTATATATTTTCATTGTGTGCTAATATTAAACATTTCAGCATGCTTATCCCGTTAGACTCTTATTTATTTAAATTAGTCTAATAAAACAGGAAATAAGCGATTCACCTTTCATTAATTTTCGAACGCAACTTGAAAGGTCGCATCTTACAACTCATAAAATTATCAATTTTTCATATTCCCATTCTTTAATTGTAAATGCTTCACTTGTTTAAAAAACAGATTCTACGAGCATGTCGCATAATAATTGTAAGATCAACCACCATTTTTGGCAATTTAATACACGTTAATTTTCAATAACATGCACATTGATGTTAAAATCAGTTCACGTTCGACAATTTGAGTATGTAGCTATACAATATTATGTAAACAAGTATGTTTATTAAGTTCTATCAAGTTATTACTGTGTTATCATCACCACAGCTACTTCACAGAGTTCACAAGTCCACTACTGAACAGAGGGTGCCCAAGGAATGCCACAAAACACGGTCACTTCCTGCATTTCTTAACAGGTTGTTACTCCATCCAGTGGGAATCCAATATTTTATCCTTCTATTCCTGTCTATTCTCAATGAACAAGTATATAAACGTACAGCAATAAATCGTCCGTACAAGATACATAATAAAAAAATATCAATAACAAATTAGTATTTTATACAGTCATTGTCTTCTACAAATTTACATTTATAGGATTTATTCCATACTTAAATTAGAATGCAAATTTTTACCATATGCAAATTCCAACACAACATAATTTGTACACTTATCACGACTTCAAATATTAAAAAATACTGTGTAACTTATTGCCGAAAGTAATTTAATGCCACGACTTTACCATAGTATCATGTAATTACTCTTTTCTAGTGTCTTTGATAAGTGTACATAGATCATTTATTCTTATATAGATTTTTTGTTATGTAAGTTGAATATGGTTGAATTACTGGCTGCGACGTTGAACGCATTGTCAAAAAATTCATGCAAATTTTATTCACATAACATTTATGGTTGAAGTATGGGGCTCTTAGCTCCTTACGTTCTGAATCTCCTCTTCGTCGCTACTAACAACACTATTAGTTATTGTGCACAATAAATGCACAATACCTGCACAAACACAAAATTTATTTACATAAATTGAGATTCAAAATTCGGTCTTAAGTAAGACTGATTGTTTTATAATTAGAAATAACATTTATTTTGGCAAAACAATTTATATTTGTTACATTTTATTAATTTTTTTTAATGTTTGTAATATTCATTCCGGATATAGGAATGTCTGAAATTCAACACCTTCATGTTATAAGGGTTGATTTTAATTATACTAATTTTAAGTGTGTGTGTGTGTGTGTGTGTGTGTGTGTGTGTGTGTGTGCGCGCGCGTGCGCGTGCATGTGTGCGTGCATATGTGCGTGCATGTGTGCGTGCATATGTGCGTGCGTGCCTGCGTGCGTGCGTGCGTGCCTGCGTGCGTGCGTGCGTGCGTGCGTGCGTGCGTGCGTGTGTGTGTGTGTGTGTGTGTGTGTGTGTGTGTCTTTACGGTCTCACTCATAAGTCTACGTCAATTTAAACAATGATTGAAGTTACTCTCCTTTCCTTTACAAAAAAATGCTATCCGTTGGTCTCGCTAAAAAACAAAAGCGATTCGATCGTTTTTGATGAATTTTTTGTGCGTGTTTAAATGGGTTCTTAGCTGATTTATAGTCACATTTGTGAAGTAGGGGCGCTATTGTCGAGATCTAGAAATCACCCGTGCGAAAACAGGGGCGATTCGCTAGTTTGGAATAAATGTAAGATAGGACCAGCCCCTTAAAATGAGCTCTTAGTGTTACGAATTCCATCTAAAATAGACGAACACTATCAGGTAGACAGGTATCAGTCAGACATTTAATTCTAAATTTTGTTACTAATAAAAATAAAAAATATTAGGAATTTGTCGTCTCACTGGCCTTAATATGGTGTGATATTATTATATAGTATAAATGAAAGCTATTATTTCTGTGAAATAAAAATGGAGACTCACTCTAAACAACAGTGACATTTACAACAAAGAACATCATGAGTATAAGTAGAGATATGAAACAGTTTTAAAAAGCTGCCCTTTTTTTAATATACATTTTGAGTATCGAAATAAGTACGGATTTAGTAATATAAGGACAGGACCTTATCCATACAACTTACAGCATAGCTTACATTTATATAATGCATATCCAAATATTATACTAATCACGATAAATTATTTTTAAAAATCTTATAAAAATCTAAAACATCATTATAGCATTTATGTGCGCAATGATGACATACACGTAATATCTTTATTGTACTTATGTGTAGTTTAACATATCCTTGATGAAATATATTTTTAATTGTAAAATTCTATAAATTTATTACATTAACCGAAGAATGTTTACCTAATTGAGATCTTTCAGACAACTTATATCCTTTTAAATTTATTACACCACTATCAAGAGTGATACCGATTTAACGAGCGGAACATCAATAAGTCAACGAGTTGTCTTCGATATTAGTAGCGGACTCTAGTAATTTTGAGTCGCAGTATGCCGGCGTGGCAATTCATCCAAGCGGACATCAGTTCCTCATAGAGCCACTGACAGTTCTTTGACATACGACCGATAAATTATTGTAATGTAAATTTTGGAAGGCGATTAGCCGTACACAAGTGGTAGGGGCGAGTTAACTCACAGGCGCGATAAGCCGGCGGGGCGGCAAGGGTCTTGCAGCAGGCAGGCAGGTGGGCAGGCGTGTCCTTCGTCAGAGCAGCGCGGCGCCGGCCTCGGCGCGCGAGTGCGGCAGAGGCGGCGCGGCGCGCCAGGCGTCGGCGTGCGGCTCGTACAGCTCGACGGACGCGAGCGTGGTGCGCGCGCGGTAGAAGGCGCGCTGGCCGACGCACTCGCTGTCGCCTCCTGCCACCACCAGCACGCCCTCCGCCGCGCCCGCCGCGCACCCCGCGCGCGCCTCCTGCAGGCTCGCCACCTCCTCCCACGTGTTCTGAACGTAGTGCACACCACACTTGTTACTCTCCATGTGTGTAGGTATATTAATACGTCAAGGGATAACTTTTTACCCCTTTATAATTATAGTATCCTTTATATTGCGCGCCCGGAGGAGTGTGAGGGTTGGGCAAAGTTTATCTGCAGAGTGCTAAAATTTATATAAATTATGTGTTAAAACTACATTAATTAAATTTTAAAATTCATTTTAAAATTCCTTTTTTGACGAGCCCATTAGTAGTAAAGCTCGCCTGTGGTTCAAAGCCGAGTGCATACGTGTTGAAAAGCACAAGCACATGGCGTACTTATCCTAGGTCGATGCTCAAGATCGCAAAGCTTCGGATGTTGGCTATCTTTAAATTTAACCAGGCCTCCAAGTCCTGCGAAAAGGCATTACGGCAAGCCAGATTCTACCGAATTAAACACATCGGTGCAAAGCTCTTTGTCAAACTATTTGGCAGTATAGCTTTTTCCTCTCTCGGCAAAGCGGTCGCCACAAACGTTTGCCGGTCTGCCTTCTTCTCCACTGGTAAAACCATATAATGGCGCATGCGGCTAAGGAGAAAGCGGACTTATTTGCTTCTCTTTTTGCTTGCAATTCGTATCTGGACAGTAGCAACAACGTACCACCTCAATTACCTCACTACGGTACTTCTATGTCAGCGGTTCGTATCACCAACAAGGAGGTTCTTAAATCCTTGCGAAGTGTACCCAGAAGACCTGATGGTATTCCAGCTATAGTTCTAAATATCTGTAAGCCTAAATTGTCTCCAGTGTTGACGAGCTTGTGCCACCTACCATTCAGGACTGAAATAGTGCCCAAATCTTGGAAGCTAGCCAATGTGCAGCCTGCTTAAAAAGGGCAGCCGTGGCGACCCTGTCAACTATCGACCAATTTCAATTACTCCATACTCTGTAAGATTATGGATCGTATATTAAAAACGCTCACCTCATGGCATACCTGGAGCAAAATGATCTCCTCAGCGATCGTCAGTACGGTTTTCGCCAAAATCGATCAACTGGAGATCTTCTAGCGTATGCCACTCTCATATGAGGCGAAGCCCCTTGAGAACAGTGGGGAAGCACTTGCTGTTTCACTTGATGTCTCGCAGGCCTTAGATAGGGTTTGGCACGCCAGCCTTTTGGGCAAGCTTCCGGCGTTCGGCTTATGACCTGATTGACTGGGGAAACGGCTTTCTGAGTGAACGATCTCTCAGAGTCGTCATCGATGGCTGCTCATCTAGTCCTATCGCGACTCCGTTCTCTCCGCAATTCTCTTCCTGCTGCATATCAATAATCTGCTTATTCCCGGTATCTATGGGCACGCAGATGACAGCACAATTGTGGAAAAGTACCAGCCGAATGCTCGTACCAGTAGAGATCAAATTCAGTCCGAAAGAGAAGCTATGGTTGAGCGTGCGCAGTGTCTGAATAGGGCGATGCCAATCTCGTGAAATTCAGCGCCTCCAAAACACAAGCGTGTGTTTTCACCGCTAAAATGAGCCCGCTCACCCCAGCATCTAAATTGGAATACACTGACCGCCTTCAATTGTAAGAGGTTGAATTTTCTCCGAACCTTAACTATGGGCGGTTCATTAAGTTCAGGACCAAAGCAGCCGCAAGAAAACTCTTCCCTTTAAGGACCAGAAGGCATATGATTTCATACAACAAATTCTAAAATGCAGCGCGTACGGTGCAGACAAACGTGCGTTCAGCTTTGTTCCCTACCTCCTGGGGGCGGTATATATTATATATTACCGTAATTGGATCACAACAGCCAATCGCAACGGAGACTAGCACGAGTATATGCGGTAGCACAGGCACTAGACGCGTCTACATAAAATAATAACAAATAATACTGTTTACTTACAGGCTGTGAGGCAGGCATCTCTGTATTTTTTTTTCATGGACTAAAATAATCACTTACCACCAGGTAGACTGCTTGCTTGTTTGTGTTTCTCATAATATATAAAAAGCATAGTTCCACGTATATTCTATACATTAAAAAATATACACAGTACATTATTCTTGAGTAAAGCGGGCACACGTACGTGTACACGGAAAGCCCCAATGATGTGAAGTTAAGTGCCGCGAGAAGAATCACTAGATTGTACGCATGTAAAATAACAGCTATAAAGAATAACATCGAAACAAAACGCATGGAGTAAATATTCCTTGGACGTTGATTCTGCTTTAGCAGACATGCAGCAGAATGATTTTATTTGACGTGAAGAATGAAGATGGCACACCGAATGAAACTTTTTAGGGACAAAATGTTAAATAGAATAATTTTTATTCAATATAGATTACAAGAATACTTATTGAGTCATTTAAGTTTTACTACCGGTTCGGAAAAAACGTCAGTCCTGGAAACAACAAGCAAGAAACCCAGCGGACCCCTTTTCTTTAAAAAAAAAATACAATGTAATATTTTATACAATTAATTAAGAAAAATTTAGAAACAGCATTTAAAAATATTATGATATTTTATATTCCCGACGAAAACATATCTTTAAAAACATATCTAACTTTCCAGCACCCTTGGCCACAGCGGGACAGAGATGTTCAACATCACATAATACATAAAAATAAAAATATAAATTTCTTTGCAATCTTCCGCTAAATAAATACAATGATGTGTCTTACCTGGATTGAAGAGCACCTCCCGCCCTCCCTCAATTGCATGCACTAACTTCGTCACCGCTAGTCCCAGCACCACTACTTCCAACACCACTATTCCAGGTAAGACACACCATCGACGATAATAAAATATTAAAATAAAAATAGTATTATCGTCGATGGTGTGTCTTACCTGGAATAGTGGTGTTGGGAGTAGTGGTGGTTTATTTTTTATTATAATGGATTTCCGCAAAGTAACGCCTGATTCTATCAATGCTCTTAAAATTATTAGATACTTTTTGGTCCGATGTAATAGTATTTTGAAGCTTTACAAGGGTAGGCTTGGGCTGAGTAAAAATAAAAACGACGGGTTGCACTCCGGGAGTGCCGGCAGAAGTGAAAACTTAAATATTAACGTTGTGCATTTTTGATATTTTGTAATGGTTAGAGAATAATTTTGCACGAATTTCTTAAATTATCAGTATAAAAGTACTATCATTTATGTGGTAGAATACAATATTTATTTATTGCGCTATCTTGACACAAACATGACAATTTATATTATAGTCCGTTCGCGTTAAGAAAATAGTGAGTCATCGTTGTCCGCCGGCCTGGCCACGCCCCCCAGCCAATTAAAATGCAAGAAATTAGAAAGTCGAGTTCACAGTGACCAGTTGAAGTCAGGCCTTCGAACAAAACGGTTGTGTATTTTGCGTGTTACTCCTTCAACATTAAATTTTAAAAATGAATACCTCACCTATTCGAAAGAATAAAAGTGGATCAATAATCCATAGTGGAGAGAGACGCGTAATTTACAATGTTTATAAGTACTTTATACTGTGTGATTTAAATGCGACTGTGGAGAGCACAGTAATCAGTGTGTTCGAAAATACTGTTTATAAAATTATTAAAGAACAAAAGGATACTAACACATTAAAATCACCCGTGAAAAAAAGAGCTCGACTATCGACGGTCGATAAATTAGATGAACTAGACAAATGTGCAATAAGGAGAAAAGTTCACTCAATATATTTAAATAACGACTACCCGACATTGGACAAAATTATGACACTTTGCAAAGCTGACGAAGATATTCCTGTTTTCAAACGTACCACACTTCATAAAATAATGCACGAGCTTGGTTTCGATTTCAATAAACAGGATAGCAGAACATTGTTAGTCGAAAGAGAAGATATTGTTTTATGGAGGCTTAAATAACTGAGGCAAATAAAAGAATACAGAGCCGCTAATAAAACCATTTACTATTTAAACGCCGGACACGTAAAGACAAAAGCATGGTTGGATACAACGGTAAAAAATAAAAGACAAGCCTTTCTAGATGGCTTATCAGCCGGTCCAAAGTCTCCGACAGGAAAATGTAAAAGGATAATTGTATTGCACATTGCCAGCGACAAAGGATTCGTTGAAGATGGTCTACTAGTATTTGAATCTAAGTCTACAAAAGACTATCATGAAGAGATGGATGGTGAAAGATTTCTTAATCGGTTCATTAATATAATGCCTAAGCTAGAACCAGGAAGTGTTGTTGTCATGGATAACGCTCCCTATCATTCGGTAAGAGTCGAAAAAATACCAACAACCAGCTGGAACAAGCAGCAAATAATAGATTGGCTGCAAAGCAAAGGCAAATCCATGGACATGACTTATTTAAAAAAAAGAATTATTAATGAAAATTGCCGAAATCGCCCCACAATATAATAAATATTTAATAGATGAGACTGCCATAAGTAATGGCATTACAATTCTTCGCCTACCGCCTTACCATTGCAAACTTAATCCAATTGAATTGGTTTGGGCCCAAATAAAAAATTATGTTGGTGCCAATAACTTCACACGTTCAAAATGAGTGACATAAAAAAAATTAGATGACGCAATAGCATTAATAGACGCTAATCGTTGGAAGAAGTGCTGCGACCACGTGATACGCGAAGAAAATATCATGTGGGATTTGGATGACATCATGGAACTTGCAGAACAAATTCTTTCATAATTAATGTAACTGGAGAATCTAGCGATACTGATTAGTGATTTCGGTAATTTTAAGAAAATTTGTTTCCATTAAACTTAATTAAATGTTTGAAAAAAAAGAATTTTTACTCCACTGTGACACCTTTACCCTGTAGTTGCACTGATGGCTCACTATTTTCTTAACGCGAACGGACTATAGGTACATTCGCGCAAGCGCCTTGCGCCGCCTAAACGACACAGCAGGCGCAGCCATAAATTTTTGACGAGCCGTAGAAAGAGAGGGGGATACTTCCTCTCCTACGCCGCGCCGGCTGTCTCTCTCCCTCCATCCGTCTTACGCATTTTCGATCAGGGTCACGTATCCTGACACGAGTTTAACATTTTTTACCCATTACAGAAAAGTGTACAACGCCGATAAAGAAGTTTTCACTTCAACAAAGATTGACTTACATCATCAAAGCTGTATCTTTCGACGGAGGTAAGTACGGTCCGACGCGGCGCGTTGCCGCCTATGACGTATAGGTAGTTGTCGAGCACGACGGCCGCGGCCTGACTGCGCGCGTGCCGCATGGGCGCCAGCACGTCCCACTTGCCGGTCGCCGGGTCGTAGCATAGCAGGTCGCGCGTGTGACGCCACGTGTGCGTGCACCCGCCCACCACGTATATCAGTCCTTACGTATGCAAATAAAATTATTTGTGCACTAGCTATCGGTTGATCACATACATTTAATGATATTAAAACTATAATGCATATATTTATTTAATCTTTATTGTTTTACACCTTAATCTAAGGGTTACAATGGGTGGACTTAATGCCTTATGGCATTCTCTACCAGTCAACCCTGGGATATACAGTTTCATCCAAATAAAATTATATAATTAAAGCACGTGAAAACACCACCAGTTTTTTTTCCGGATTTTCTCTGTAGAGGTTTCACTTGTGTAACCGGTATAATATTTGACCTATTTAAATACGCGTGATACTGCGTGGCATGACCACAGATAATATTTTTTTTTATTAATTTTGGTGCAAATGCTCTTTAAATATACTAATTTGTGGTTTTTTATTCATCATCAAACTGTAAAATTCTTTGCTGGATATTGGACCTCCCGTCACGCTTGCTAAGCGCATTGACGATCGCAATATCAAACCAGTCTATCTATCCTACTTAATCATATATCTACGAATCATATATCATAAATTTACTACTTTTTGTAAAATTTTATTATAAAATCTAAACAAAAAATAAAAACCTGTTCGGCAGACAAACCCGAATGGATTAACTAACTTATCGATAGCTAAACTTGTGGCGTACATTACTACATTGCAGTACTTTCGGTTGCAGTAATACGAAGTGGCAAGTTTCGATTCGACTTATTTGGCCTTTATTTTGTATAATATTTTGATAAAGACTTATATATCGATTATATTAAATTACAATATATTCAGAATCGTGTTGGGATTGAGTTAAATATTTAACTCATTTGACGAAACATCCCGTTAGCTCGGGACATAAACACATGTGTTCATTATTCATCACAAACTGATTTAGTTGATATGAAATAAAATTTTGTTAATATATTTATTTCGCGTAATAAATTATATTTATTTTAAAATAGCTTATTATTCACTTCATGAACTATGCTGGAAAAACTTAGTATATTACGAAAATATTCAGAAAATACGAGTTTTAGCGATAATATTATGTTAAAAGTATTCACAGGTGAAAAGTCACGATGTCCTTTTGTAAATTTGACGGTTTTGTTTTTGCATGAAAATACACTGCAATTCGGCATTTTTGTCCGAGCTCAATTGACTGGCACGATAACTTGCGTAAGTGGTGGTGGCGCACGACGCGGAGCAACTAGTTTTATATAACGGGTACGTGTGGGACTCTCGTACGTTTGACAGAGAGGTATGCCTTGCGATGCCGTCTCCTTTGGTTTAATACTTCACAAAGGCCATCACTTATTCTGTCACTAGTAATGTGGTTAATTTTAAAACACAATACTACTGTATTCTATGCTAAAAAAAATTGCGAACAAATTTTTATCATTACCTTCAAAGTTAACTACTCCCATTCCAAACCTCGGTTCCGGCATCCGACCACTAAGCGTCCATTCGTCATTGATCGGGTCGTACACCTCCACTGAAGCGCCCATGTCGGAACCGACCCAACCACCAAAAGCGTACAGATTGCCATTCCAACCCGTGAGGCCAAATTCGCAGCGTGCTTCCTTCATTGGAGCAATATTAGACCATTTATTATTCTGGAACAAATCAACTTATTTTATGATTTCTCAAATTTACGCGAACACTAAACGTCGGGAAATAAAAATAAGTAGTATTAAACGCGATAAAATCCGTAAAAGTAGTTAGCTTATGTTCTTTAAAAAGTATTATTTTAAATTTTACTTGATATTTTTTTTTACAATTCCATTCCTTGTTTAAACTTTTAGTCTTTCATATTTAAGACTTTGCAATTATCAATAGCTCTTTATTCGTTACAGCCTTTAAAAGTTCACTCCCGAACTTCCTCTGCCATAGATTACCTCCTAGGAAGGAAGGAAGGCCTAGTTTGTTATTTATTAAAATAAAAGGTAAATTCTGGCTATTGGAAAGCAAAATCGTCAAATAGGTAAAAATATATCGAACCCCAATCATAGCGACACCACCCCATAGCAAAATAAAGAAACAAAACGACAAAAGAGCAGCCTTAGCACCACTAAAACAGAAAGCACTTTACTTGTAACGAGGCATTGCTTTTTATTCTTCAGTGGTAACAACACATCAGCATTTTATTGATTTTTTATCAATGGTAGATGTAAATACGAGTATATACGAGTATACGCCACAGCATTCATTTACCATCAGTTGATCACATGATTTAGTTTAGAAATGATCTTTTTTTTTAATAACAGGATGTAAGTATGAAAAATATTTTGTAACTTATCCCGTTCTATGGAACAACATTGTATTAGTCCAGGAGGAATCGGCGCATGAGCACCCATAAATATTCCACCTCAATTTTGTAAAAATCTTCAATTTCTTCAAATTGTCTTACTGATGATATAAATGCATTCTAATGGATTAAAAGTATTCGAATGTGAGATTTTTCAAACCTTTAAAAATTCATATTTCCGAAAATATTAACTGTATCATAAAAAGTCTTAATATTTGTTGTATTTGTATTTCATCAACGAATGATTTAAAAAATGTCCCGTTTAAAAATAACAATTCCTTGCAATTTAAAAAAAAATCGGTTTAATACAATATAAAACCGAGTTTCCCCATTACATATATTTATATCTTCAGTAGTCCTTATGGCAGAATCGCTGGAGGATCTTAGCACTATGCTCAATGACCTCAATGGTGCCTCCCAACGGATAGGTCTTAAGATGAACATGGACAAAACAAAGATTATGTTCAATGTCCATGTCACACCTATGCCTGTAGTTGTGGGGAGCACTATGCTCGAAGTTGTTGACGAGTACGTTGTGAGAGTAGAGAATTTTACCTGGGACAAATAGTCCGACTAGGTAAGTCCAACTTCGACCGAGAGTTCAATCGATGGATTCAACTCGGCTGGGCAGCGTTCGGGAAATTACGACACATCTTCTCGTCAGGTATACCTCAATCTCTGAAAACTAAAGTGTACAACCAGTGCGTGTTGCCAGTGATGACTTACGGATCAGAGACGTGGTCCTTCACTGCTGGCCGTATGAGGACGCTCAAGGTCGCTCAGCGAGCTATGGAGAGGGCTATGCTCGGAGTTTCTCTGCGTGATAGACTCAGAAATGAGGATATCCGCAGTAAAACCAGAGTGACCGACATAGCCCAACGGATTAGTAAGCTGAAGTGGCAATGGGCCGGCCATATAGCTCGAAGAACCGATAACCGATGGGGAAGAAAGGTTCTCGAGTGGCAGCCTCGTACCGGTAGGCGTAGTGTAGGGCGACCCCCCACTAGATGGAGTGACGACCTGGTAAGACATGCAGGAAGTCGATGGATGCAGGTGGCTCAGGACCGTGCTTTGTGGCGTTACTTGGGGGAGGCCTATGTTCAACAGTGGACTTGTGAAGGGCTGTAATGATGATGATGATGATGATATCTTCAGTAAGACAACTTGAAGAGAAACGCATAAAAATTGAGTTGGAATAGTTTTCAGTACTCATGCGCCTGTTTCTCCTAGACTAGACTTTTATTATTCAATTTAAAGTTAAAATGCGATGAAATGAGGGTTAAATATAAAATTATTTTTTTGAAATAAAGCAAATATAATTTAAAATATTTGTAAGCAAAATATCATCATAGCTATTATTGTATTTTTGTGTGGCAAATAAATACTTTTTATTTATTTATTTATTTACATCATATTTGGAGACGAAAGTAACTTGAGGTATCTTCGTCAAATATTTAGTGGACTGTAATTTTGGTGCAGACGACAAAGGGGCAAATAAGTAGGTGGGATGGCACGCACTGACCTGGTGAGGGCTGTCTCGTCTTCCTCTTGGAGTATCCGCTATACAGCGGGAACGCCACGAGGTTCGGCGCACGCGCACTCTCGGATCAGTTCCAAGAACCCCCACGAAAGGTCGAGAGTGTGACCACTCTCGACCTTTACACTCACGAGGGCGTCTCAAACTTTTATAAGTTACAAAGACACAATGTCTGATGCGGTGAGTATTAAACATAAACAGGAGAACTCAATGTCCTGCGCGGTTTTGCGGTTAATATACCTACGACGCGACGGCTGGCCGTGCAATCGCGGAGAACGTAGAAATGTCACTTAATGACGCGCCACGAGACCTTTTCTTTCGCACCTCGGCGGTAGCGCGTGTGATAGGGAAAGAGAAGGGATGAGAGGAGTCAAAGATATGCACCAATAATTTCATTACATTAATAAACTAGATTATTAACTGGCGTTACCAATATTATTATAGGAGCTTAACTTTTTTCTGAGACTAATCAGATTCTTATTAGATTACACGCAAATTTTATGGTTAAACATCGATCACAGACAGTTTTAAAATTTGTAAAGGATAAATGTTCGTGACTAAAAAGCAGATAGGCGTTATTTCCGTCCTTTAGTACCTGTGGTTCATAAACTTCTCCATTCGCGAGTATTTGGCTGCCTTGTTCACCGCCGACCGCGTAAACACGCCCAGCCAGCGCAGCTACTCCTGGTTGAATTCTTGCTATGCCCATAGGTGCAAGCTCCTCCCACTCTCTAAACAAAAAAAAATGTTTAAGAACTATTTTATTAAATTTGGATAAGTAAAAATGGTGCGATTTTGTGTATTAATTCGTATAAAAAAATTTCGCTATGGGACGCGTATACGTCTGTCTTGGCGTGGTTTCGGTGTAACACTTAAAAATTAAATTGTTTATACGATTAATGTGAATAAGTTATTAAGACAAATATTTCAATTATTTGACATTGGCAAATGTAATTGTATGAGTCCACTACTAAAGAAATACTTTTAATTCTCGCAACCAAAACCATTTTTTTTGGAAAGAAATTACTTATTTAACCATTGGTTAAGACAATATATCTCCTGGAAAATGATTACGATGTTTCTGGATGATATTGTTTGTATTTTGAATATATTTACAAAATCTTTTTTTATAGGAGTGGGGGCAAACGAGCATACGGCTCACCTTCATGCAATTAAAAAAGCTTAAAAATTCATGTGAAAATAGGGTAAGACCTATCGCACATTGGTATACTACTTTATCTAAATTATTTTAGTGTTAAATTAATTAAAACGATTTAACTGTTTAGTCGATGATATGAATCGACAAACCAGTATGTTGATGAATGATAAACCTAGATGTCGATTTACTAGTTTTCTCTATCGGTCGGTCATTTTGCTGCAATCAATTATACTTAATAATTACAACTTCTATGATAAATATTATAGTGTTAACTTGTACTTTACTTTATATAATGCAATTTTAACAAAATAGGAAAAAAGTATGCCGTTTCAACGGCGCTAGTGGATAGTGAAAAAATTAAAATTTAATAGAAAAGAAAAAACTAATTGGTGCCAAAACGATTAAAATGTTTTAATCGTTGTAAATAAAAAATAACACACAAAATTATATTATAATCTGTGAAGACATGTTGGTTATGAATAAGATTATATTCTTTTGTAACTTTCTTAAATATGTATAAATCTCATCAGTAAGGAAAATATTTTATTCGGGCATTGATAATAATGATGTACTTTTTGTTTATGAATTAAATTGAATGATGTACTTTTCAAAGATACTTTGATTCATTATGTGTATGCAAATTTTGCGCAAAAAGAGCTTTCTTTCCAAAGAAAATATACAAGCTATTTGTGTGATAAAATAAAAAACAATACTCTTTGTTTTGAATATGTAATTAAACCAAAATATCATAAACTTGATGGAGATGACTGATGTGAAAGAAGCGAGAGAAGTGTGTCAGGATCGTACCAAATGGAAGTCCGTGGTCTCTACCTACCTATCAGGGATACAGATGTGAGAGTTTATACTACGTTTTGTTATTACGTACGATTTCTTTGAATGAAGAATCGATTGATTCAGCTACGCCAGCCTTCTTATTTGTTCTTATTTGCTCTTGGCTACAGCAATAAGTTTTCTTGAAATTAATTGATTCCAACCACTGAGTTTATTACCGGTTGAATTTCTAAATATCTTTACCGGCTGGACGACGTGTGTGACGTACCCAAATCAATTTTATAGAAATTGTGTCAGTAAACGTGCAAGTTAAAAATATTTATATTTTTTACACTAACCTTTTATGCAAGTCAAACTTCAGGACAGTGGACAGTATATTATCAGTTGTGAGGGATGGGTGCGCGGAGTTGTCGTGGCAAGAGCCGCCCGCGACCAGAAGCACGCGACGTGAGCGGGCGCGAGGTTCAGCCGCTAGCGACACCAAAGCACCACGACCCGTCTTCTACAATTTAAATAATATAATATAATATACCGCTTACATTTTCGTCCGTGCTGTTGCTAACTGCCTGGGACATGTTTTACGTATCTTCCGGCTCCCAAAAGACAGCTTAAATCGTCGGCATACAGGATTATTTTGCTATAACCGGACAAATTTGCAGAGAAGATTTAAAATAAGTAATATAGGCAAGCGGTGAGGAAAAATTTAGCCGATTTATCATTTAAATTCAAAATGCGTGGTAAAGTATTATTTTATGATTTCTTAAATTTACGCGAACACCACATTGAATAAAACTAAATTTACCTACTGATTTGATCGCGTTTAATTAACTACTTTTACCTTAGAGCATACATTACATGGAGGGAGCACTGTGTGAGCAGAAAGCGTGATCGGCGTAAGAGAGAGAGAGAGCTGAGTTTAGGTAGAGTCTGTCTCTCTCGCACAGTCACTGTCATTGGCTGTTTCATTGGGCATGCGCTCGCGCGATGCAACGGTGGAAAACACGCCAGCCAATCAGAAGCATGTGCGAGAGAGACAGACTCTACCTAAACCTTAGAGCACCGATCACGCTTTCTGCTCACACAGTGCTCCCTCCATGTAATGTATGCTCTAAGACTTTTACCTATTTTTAATTCCCGACGTTTCGGGTGCTTTACAACACCCATGGTCAGTCTCTCGTGACCATGGGTTACGTTATTTTTATAAGTAAAAGTAGTTAATTAAACGCGATAAAATCCGTAAATTTAGTTTTATTCAAAGTATTATTTTAACTGATTTTACTGCGCACGCACGCATTCGTCATTACGTTCATTATTCGTCATGGTCACATTACTAACTTTGTGTTGTCGTTATTATTATTGTGTTTTGTATTTGGTGAATATAAGCTAAATTTAGTGATATTATATTCTTTGAGACATGAAGGAAGAAACTGCCGTCTGTGATACAGGCTCGGCCTAGTACAGCCGGCAATAACAAACCGAAGTAAGAAACTTAAAATTTGTAGATAGCTTATTTTAAACTTATTGTAAAGAAGCTTATTTTAAAGGAAAGGAAAGTAATTATCCGTAAGGGTCGATCAGTAGATAAAAACGTTGTTACCAATAAATAACATTCAATTTGGAATTAATTTAAAAAGTAGACGCTTATTTATTTGTTTTCAAAAACTGCAACAACGGTATATCAGTTAAGTTTAGAATTTAGCTCGTTGCGCGGAAAACGGGTACTCTCGCATTTTGTTTATTTGATTTGGGGGATTATAGAGAACCACGCATACAGTCTACATATAGTGAAATCTCACATAACAAATCTTAGCCCAACCCGGGTACCTTAGCTACACCATTTTGAGTTTCCTTCGATCCGGATACGAAGGGAAATACAGTCACCCTAACCATTTAGTGACTATTCGAACCCAGGAATCATTAGCGTCAGCATTTTCTAGTTACTTCGACCCGGATTAGAATCGGGACAACTGCTGCACCATTTTCTGGCCCTTCATTCCGGATATAAATTTAGTCAGTAGCGCAACCATTTCTAGTTCTTCGACCCGGATTCGGAGGGACAGCCTGTGGCTGCACCTTTAGCTATTCTTTGAAAAATAACCCTGTATACATAAAAAAAAAAATATTAGCATGATACTAACTCATACTTGTCACTTAATGTAATGTAGAGAATTTACAGGATGTTTGGGTGGTATTTTTTTACATTATATTCAAGTTTTGTGTTTACCATAATTAATTCAAAACCAGATACAACATTTTGGTAAAAAATATTGCGCTAAATCTCAGATGTTATTTCATTAATTTGTAACAGAACTAATTTACAACGGAAAGTTCTTTCAGTCCTGTTCGAATGAGCATTTCTCAAAACTAGCTGTCGTCTTATCCCTGTTCCTTTTCTTTATTAATGACCTTACCTAGGATAAACATGTTAACGTATTATTTGTTGAAATTGTATGAAATCATTTCGCGCAACACTTATCAACGAAATCTAATAATTGTATGTACTTGGAACCTTAAAATTTTTATTGCGTACAAATTTATGTCCTTGCAGACTATTTCATGCTATACGAAGAAGTCACGCATACTATTTGCGGCGCTATAACTATTACTTAATGGTCCAAATTAAGCAAACAATAAACCAAGTGAACTTTTTTTATTCACATACCATATCGACTCTAACAGTTTTCAAGGCTACTGCTATGGAGGGATCCTGTACGGTTTTAAGGGCGTCATCCAAAACTTGTGGCGATATCAAAGGCAGACGTACATGGCTTAGAACTTCAAAGCAATGACGCCTGCGACACGCGGGATCATGTTCCAGCCATTGAAGCGCTGGATATAAAACCTACAAAACAAGGAATTTATTTTACTCTAAATTCATTAGTCGTTTGGTTCCAGCGATAACTGATTTCTAGTTTAGCGAGAGAAAATCGAGTACTTAAGAATACACAAAATAAATACAGCTACGACGAACATCAATTGGATTTCATAATGATGCTACATCCCGTGCCACTGCCTTCGAAGATTTTAATGAGTATAAGAGAGGTTTTGTGGCATTTCTTGAGAGACCTACGTTCAGCAGTAGGCTTGTGAAACACTGTGATGATGATGAGGAAAAAGATAAAACGAAGTTACGAAATCTAGTGACCTGCGAGAGAGACGTCTTTGAGCAGTCGGGTAAAATTTTAATACTAATTATTAAAAATATATAATTTATTGATACTTGTAACCGACTTCAAAAGGAGGAGGGACTCGGAACCTCAGAACTTTTATCTAGGTGAACCGATTTTGCGAATTCTATTTTATTTCAAAGCTGGTGCTTGTCATGTGGCTCCATATAAATTTGATTTTTTATATGGAGTTATTGCATAGCTTCTATCGCGGGCCTTGAGCGCGGGGACCGAATCCAGAAATTCCGTAACGAAAAAACCTCACGCTCCCCACTCCGACGGGCACGGAGGTGTGGCGTTGAAAGCCGTGCATCGTCTAACGTCGTTTCAGTTCGGCAGACTTCGGCACGGTGTTTGTGTGCGTGCGACTAGACGTATGCGGGTACACTAGCTGCAAACTCAATGATAAAAATTCCTGAATAATCTACATGTATTGTAAGATATTAAAAATATTTTAAACAATATTAACTTCTCATTTATTCAATAAGAGAAAAAAAATTGTTTTCTTATCGGTCACCACGCTCAAAAAGTGTAACTTGATTTAATATCAAAGACTTAACTGCATAAATAAAATAAATAAATAATTATAGTTGCATAAGTTGATAAAAAATGCTATGCAATAGCTTTACCGCGGCAGTCACCGAGTGCCACACGTATTTTTATATTGATGATGTTCTCATTTTATTTATATTTAAGTCGGTTGTACAAAATTTTTAGTTTTACCACTTGTCTCAGAAAATATAGAGTCTATTGTTTGTTTTATAGGAAAAGAGGCTCTAATGAGCATTTATTTGAGTAGGTAAATCTCTCTCTCTCTCTCTTCCTCTCTTTCTCTCTCTCTCTGCCTCTCCCGTCAAAGATTTTCCTTAATTTGGATTGATAACCGCAGTACCCGAACTCTCGCATTTTTGCCGCAACTATTTGTAGCTTTGAGACGTTTCTAACATTTTCTATAGTCGCCTCTTACCACGCACATAGACGTAATGGTGTAGATATTATTACACCACCACCACACTGCTACTCTTACTATACCTAAAACTGAAGTCTTATTATACTTCCTCAGTAGCGTAATAAAACTTCAATTTGGTATTATTTTCTAAGGACTGAAGAAGGTCAAAGTAAACTGGTAAATATACCTGGGCTTCATTATCAACTTTAAGTTCTTCTGACGAGAGCAAAGTTACAAGTTGTTGAAGTGGTAGGTCTAAAAATTCTTCATCATTGGCAACAATATTCCAATTAGCTTGAGCATGAGCTAATGCATCTCCAGCTAAATCCATGCAGTTATGTGTCTCAGCGAATCTATATTATTTCAAACAAAATTTTTAGACTGTTTATTTATTGTCATTTGAATAATATATCATGTTCCTATAAATTAAATCGCAGGCAACAATTTTATTTTAAATAATCATTTAATGGTTATTCCATAATATGTAGATAGATAATATTGTACAATATTAAAAATAATACCTGAAAATACCAAGGGCATTTGATGGATGTAATTCCCTTTTTAGATACTCTCCACAGCCAGTGACTAGCTCTCGAAGCTGTAGCATATCGGCAGCAATCAAAAGATGTTGTACTGTCCCTTTGTCAATATTGATTTCACCTGAAATCACAAACACATAAATAAAAAGTTACACATAAACAAAGACAATAAAATGGCAATAATTGTCAATAACATTTTCTATCTATAAAATTAATATATAGGTAAATCTTTAAAAGTTATAAATGTTTAATGCATGAACGGACTGTCTGTACCGTTCCACATTTACAAATATTTAAATTGACAGTATTTCGCTTTCAGAAATCTTACCTGTATAAATAAAATCGACAATCAAAGGTAGGATCCCTGGTGGAACTGTAGGTAAAACAACATGACCCTTTTGGCTTTCCTCAAGACCAACACTAAACATTGCATCAAAATATTCACAACTTGCAGCTAGCACCACACGATGTGCCTGAAAAAAAAATTTACTTAACTTACAGCCTATGAAGACGCAGGGCCATCGCTCGTTTTCTGAGCAGAAGCCTCCTGTTTTTGTTTATTACATAGGGTATATCATTTATCCTTGTGTTTGTAAGAAGAGGGTTGAATTGGCCGTGGTCTTAGTACGTATCGCTCGAAGATTCAACTTGTAGATCAACCAGCTTGCTTAGCATATCTTCGTTCAGGTCGTGGGCGCGGATATGCCACGGATCCCAGTCTAGAATATCCACGTATGTGTATGTGTCCACGTGTGTGTGTGTGTGTGTGTGTGTGTGTGTGTGTGTGTATGTGTGTGTGTGTATTCGCGTGTTGTGTGTGTATTCGCGTGTGTGCGTGTATGTGTGTGTATTCGCGTGTGTGCGTGTATTCGCGTGTGTGCGTGTATTCGCGTGTGTGTGTGGCGCGCGTGTGTGTTTAGTTTTTTACTTTTGAAGTTCTTGATCGATTGAGATGCGGTTTCGGGGCGATGTGTGTGTGTGTGTGTGTGTATATATATAATAAGTTTTAAAAGGCTTTACCGATTGATTTCAAAAACTAACCAGCTCTTAACCTCAAAAAATGACGTCGAATGCCGTTTGGAAAATAAAAATCAGTTCATTCGTTCGTGAGATATCGAAGGAGAAAGAATTTGAAAAAACGTTTTTTTTACATAACTTTGAGATTTCGCAACATAATTTGGTGAAATTTGGAACGCTTTGCATTTGAAATTAGCGGGAAGTTCCAGGGATGGCCTGCAGGGGCAACAAATTTTTTTATAGATTAATGGTGACAAACGAGCACACCGTCAACCTGATGGTAAGTGGATGGATGCTGTGGCCAATAGACATCTACATTTATCTTCGATTAAGAATCAAAATACAGATGAGTTTTCACCCCTGACTAAGGAATAAGACGGAATGCCTCGTTTCCAGCAAAAAGGGTCTCCGGTTCTTTACACTCACCATACCAAACACAGCAGCGATAAGCTGCAATATTAAGCTGGTATTCTGTGAGAGCCTGGTCTTACTCCGGTTGAGCCGACCCATTCGTGCTAGATAGGCAGTGCGGGTCAATACCGGTTTCTTCAAAGTCGGTGTGTGCTGATAATATTATATCACCACCAAAACTCTATGACAGTACCATAACACAGGATATTAAAATAAAATATAATTCAAATATTATCAAAAATAATATAATTGTGTATAGCGATGACATAGGAAAAAATTTAGGCAGAATTTTAGATAACACTTTTAAGGGACAAAAATTAGAAATTGCTGCATGCCTGGAGCATCTCTTAGTGACATTCTAACAACGATTTTAGCTAGTAATGTATAAGTAAATGCATTCTAAATAAAATTATAGTTACTAAATTTTGTCCAAATAGTACAATAATAGTTTTGGTTGGTAGAAGAGGCAGTGTAAATAACGAACAGTTATTAAGATATAATGAACAACATAATAACTTAAATGTAAATAAAATTGTCTTGTTCACACTGCTTTATATACAGGGATTGCCACAAGAAAATAATTTAAGACACTATTTAAATTTACAAATGAATAATTTAATTTTGACATGTAATGATAATAATGACAAATTTCATTTAATTGAAATAAATAATGTAATTAAGAAATTTTGGACAGATAATAGGTATTACCTATCCAAATATAATTAAAGACTGATAGCAAATGTGCTTACCTTATTATTTACTTTTTAACTCAGCTAAGTTTTTGGCTACCAATACTGCTTCTATTGAGCAGCATAATGATTTGACGCTTCAATTGGAATCAGTTCCAATTAATTTAATTAAGTGAAATCGACAATAGAGACAATCTCTAGCAATTATAATATTAAGAGTTTAATTAATTTCGAATGCAGCCCACAGATAAGTAATAAGAATTGTTTACACCTGGTGCATCAAAATATACAAGGCATGATGGGCAAAGAATTGGAAGTTGAATTGTTTTTAAATAGTAACAACATACATATCCTTTGTATTACTGAACATTGGCTAAAAGATTATAATTTAATGTTTAATTTCAGAAATCACCAGGTGGTCAGTTCCTTCAATAGAGAAAAAAGTTTACGCGGTGGCTCCTTAATATTAGCAGACAAAATTTACTATATAAAGAACGTAACGGTACCCGGCGATAAATATTGCACACCGACCTTTGGTAAGAGACTATCAGCTAATTTCATCTTCGTAGAGCGTTATCTCTGTCGCACGAAGTACAAACAGTCCCGTATCTATTAGGTCGAACGTCAAAACGTCACATAGTTAGTGTGCGACAGAGATAACGCTCTACGAAGCCGAAATTAGCTGATTGTCTCTTTCCAAAGGTCGATGTGCAATTATCGCCGGGTACTGTAAGGATATTGTGAGCCTCTCTGTTGAGCGAACTGTAGTAACTAGTAAGGGCTTGCATCGATCTTGAGCACCTTATTGTTGTGAGTGTTTACAGACTCCCATGTGCTACTTACGAATATTTTGAAAAGATTGTGGAAGAAGTTTTGCTCAAACTTAGTAAACAGAACAAAACTGTTGTTATATGTGTTATATGTAACATTTATCTCCTTGAAAGTTCTTTCATTTGTATTAAGTTTACCTCACTGTTTAAATCGTTTTAATTTTGTTAATTTATTCTTACAACCGACTCGTATTGCTGGGTCTAGTGCGACCTATACAAAGATTTCAAAAGGAGGATAGGCCCATCTAAATATTTTACTCATAATTTTTCATACAAGAAAAAGTAGCGCATCTGTCATAATACAAACGTCATGTCAAAACACGACGTAACCAGGGTTAGATTTCGTAATATAATTATTCTAATTGTAACATTATTTCATAGTTTGTAGTACATAGTATCGTAATAATACTAAGCGAAAATACCATAATTTTACCTAAAGGTTGACTTGTATTATTATTGGGTACCCTTTTACATTTTAATATTAACCCTACGATATCGAGAATTTCTGTATTGTACATGAGTACCGCGTTTTTTTAATAAAATTATAATTAGTTCCCTTTCTGGTCAACCGATGCTCGATCGATCCTTTTCTTTTGTACTCTTTTCGTTTTACCCGTATTTAATATAAAATATATTAGGTACCAATATTCAAAATTTAACTTACACTAAGTTCTTTAGACGAAAATTAAACAGAAATAAAAATAAAACCTTCAAAAAACGAAACGTATAGATAAACTAGACGCGTGACGCCAAAATCCCGCCACATGGGAAAAAAGAAACATGAAACGTCAAACGTGATACAATTTTTTTTAAATAGTATACTTTTATTTTCCATGTACAATATTTTTGAGGATCTGAATCCAACCCTGGCCTAATCTTGGTAACGTAACTAAACTAACTGTAAAATAAAACTAAAATGCGTTTATATAATAATTTAATTGTAACAAAAACAATATAAGGTTATTTACCGATGATACGATATATCATGTTTTTTTATCTTTGTATCGTAATTTTTGCATTCTTTTACCACGCCACTAGACATATTTGTGACAGGCAAATCTGTCTTGCGCGCGCACCATGATTCGCGATTCGCGTTGGCTCTAAATTGCAATTTTAGGGCCAATGCATTGGTCCGTTTTAGTTGTTCGGTCGGCCCGGTCCTTACGCTAGTAATATATAAGTCAATGGACCTGTACAGATAACATTTTTGCGTTTAGAAAGGTTTAGAAGTAATATAGTAAAAGGACTTAAAAATAGTGCTGATTATTTGTATGGTGCATTATTTAAAATTATTACTTGTGAATTTAATAGAATATTTATTTCTAAAACTTTCTCTTTAAACAGTCGCAAATCATTTAATGAATGGGCGACAGTAGACATTTATAAATGTAGGCGAAAGTTATACGAGCTTTATAATGAAAGATCGTATAATGATAGTGTCATATTTAGAGAGTATGATAAAAACATTCTAAAATATTTAAAAAGTATGCTCCACAGCTAAAGCTTTACATTTAAGCAACAAAATTAAAATGACGTGGAGTATAATTAACAGTGAAACGGGAAAGGTTAAACCACGCAACTCTGATCTTTAACTGAATATTAACAATAATTTGACTCAATCTGATCAAGGAGTTGCTATGGCTTTTGAGAAACATTTTACTGATGTTCCTTTTTTGACAACAGAATCATTAAATTCTTCTCCTACTATCGTCGAATCATTGCCTAAACAAAATGTAAAGGATTGTTCAAATGTTTTTAAATTCCATAGAGTATTGCCAAAAGACATCATTAAATATATTAAAACTATTGATGTTAAGAAAACGGCAGACTTATGGGGGAATTGCATTAAAGTTGTTGCATCTGTAATAGATAAAATTGCACCTTATCTAGCCACTATTTTTAATACAAGCGTAGAATCTGGTGTGTTTCCTGATTTAATGAAATAGTAAAGTTATACCTTTATTAAAACCTGGTAGTACATCAGACCCCGCCAATTTTAGACCAAATTTTTCTGTACTACCAACTGTAAGTAAGATAAAATTTTTAAAAAAATATTTTACGTCAGATGATAAGTTTTTATAATAAAAATAAATTGCTCCATACAAGTCAATTTGGTTTTACAAGGGGTCGCTCGACAACCGATGCCGGAGTTGAGCTTATAAAACATATTTTTTGTGCATGGGAGAATTCAGAGGATGCTTTGGGTATATTTTGTGATCTTTCCAAGGCCTTCGACTGTGTTTACTATGAGACATTAATCAGGAAGCTGCAGTACTATGGTGTCAAGAACACAGCGCTCAAACTAGTTATTTAATATATAAGTAATAGAGTGCAGAAAGTTGTTATGGTGTTTTTGTTCTATGTTATTGTTCATACTTTAGCGATCAAACGTAAACGTCAGTCATTTAAATGTGACGAAATGAATAATGCTATATCAAAATTAGTGCATTGGTTTAACGTTAATAATCTACATTTAAACGGCAATAAAACTAAATTTATTAAATTTGCTACTTTGTGGTAATGTAAAAAAGTATAATAAAATGTGTTAATAATCCGAGTACCAATGTGTTTTTAAATGGGGAAGAACTGAGTCCTGTGGAATCCTCTATTTTTCTTGGCATCACTCGACACTAAGCTTCAGTGGGACCCCCATATATCTAAACTAGCAAGGATACTAAGCTCTGCAGCTTATTCAGTAAAAAATATTAGAGATCTCACTAGTGTTGAGGCAGCTAGATTAGTTTATTTCAGTTATTTCCATAGCATGTCATATGGGATTTAGCTATAGGGGAATGCGATAAAAACTATTTTTGTTTTGCAGAAGAGGGCCTATTATATATAGAGCTATTTACAACCTTAAACCGAGAGAGTCTCTTAGAGAAAAATTTAAAGAAATAAATATATTAACTTTGTCCTCTCAGTATATCTATGAAAATTTGATGTATGTTCACAAAAAAAAGGTAGTTTTAGTAAAAAACGTGACATACACTCTGTAAACACTAGGAACAAACACAAGCTAGTGATACCAGTTTTTCGACTCCAAAGAGTCAGTAATTCATTCTTGGGGGCAATGTATACACCATTACAACAAAGTCCCAGAAAATATACAAGGTCTCTCTATTACCAAGTTTAAATATTTAATGAAATAAAAACCGTATAAAAAGGGTTATTATGATATAAATGAATACATGGTTGATAATGACCCCTAGGAATGAGGTGCTCGCTTCCAAGCTGTTTCAAAAATTAATTTCGAAAATATTTTATGACCATTGATATTGTAAATTTTTTTTAAAATTCCCGCTGGGTTTCTTGATGGTTCTTCCCAGGACAGAGGAGGTTTTTTTTCGAACCAGTGGTAAAGTAAAAAATTGAGTTTCAATAAGAATTACTTGTAATCTAATAAAAAATTATTCTATTCTATTCTACAATCACAATATAGCTGCAGCATGGCTTAACCACGTAAAAAATCAATTGTGGCTCTACCACATAAAAATCATCAATCGTTTTAACCCTAGAATACTAATCATCGCCTGAGAAGCCGCGCGCGGTCAGTTTTTTCCGTTATTTTAAAAATTCGCCCGCGAATCAAGTTGACAACTGAGTTGTGCTTTCGCGCCAATTCAGTATATCTCGCACCTAGTGTTGCCAATTTAGCATATTATATGCTAAATTTGACATATTTTCTTCTTGTTTAGCATATTTTTTTTTGCTTTTAGCATATAGCATATTATTTCAGCATATTCTTATAAAACATGAAAAGAATGTAAATTACAATCTTTCTTGAAATAAAATTTGATATCGATACCTATCTCAATCAATTTCCCACTTCACTACTAGTGATTCACTAGCATGGCAACCCTTTTTTTGAAGCGAATATAATATTCTCTGTGCTACGGGATTCCCCTTAGACATAGAGAATGGACTGAGCCCTTATTCAGGTATAAAGTAAATATGGACGAAGTACAAGAGAGACAAAGCGAATGTGCCGCCAGTTATTGTCTCTTTCTACGCCTTACCTGCGCCTTGCAGAAAATACACATGTATTGGCCGCGTATTCACTTTGTCTCTTTCTAGAGAGTGGTCAGTTTTGTGAGGGTGATGTCTATGGGATAGAATTCCCTTACTATTATCCATTCCCCAGCGCCTACGTCGCTTTCTGTCAAAAACATTGTTTATTGTTGTGGATGTGGACTCACTCATATCGTCGTCTCGTCTTATCCGTGTTTTCGTGTTCCTTTTTTATAATTTGATATTTTTATTATGGTGCCTAAGTATAGTCAACATTACCGGGCAGACTGGGAGAAAATGGCAGACTTTAAAGAGTGGTTGCAGCCCGTTGAAAACGATACTTCGAAAGCGTACTGTAAGTATTGTAAATGCGAAATGATTGCAAAATTGTCTGTTTTGAGGCTACATATTTCATCAGCAAAGCACAGAAAAGCAATAGAGCCAATGAAGAGTCAAAAAAAATTTACTTCCCTAAAGTAAAAAAAGATCTGAATACCCAGAATGCAGAATCTTCGCTGGCTTTGTTTGTTTGCGAGCACTGTGCAATTATGGCTGTAGATCATTTATCGGAACTATGCAAATACCGATTTGTCGACAGCAAATACAGCGACATCAAGTTACATCGAACCAAATGCACGAATATTATTAAAAATGTTTTGGCACCACACTTCATTCAAGAAATTGTGACAGATTTAGGAGATCAGGAGTACAGTCTCTTAATCGATGAATCGACAGATATATTGGTACTTAAAATGCTTGGTGTTTCGATAAGATATTTCAGCCGATCATTAAAAAAGATAATTTCCACATTCTTGGGATTAGTTGAGATTGAAGACGGAACTGCAGTCAGCATAGTGAACGGCATTAAAGGATTGTTGGCAGAAATAAAAATAAATTTAAAGAAATTGATCGGTATCGGCACGGATAACGCTTCGGTCATGACAGGAACTAACAGTGGAGTGCACGCATTGTTGAAAAATGCAACTGGTAATGACAATTTAGTGTTAGTCCGCTGCGTGTGTCATTCGTTACAGTTGGCTATGTCTCATGCTTCAGCAGAAACCCTACCAAGAAATGTTGAATTTCTTATAAGAGAAACCTATAACTGGTTTAGCCATTCATCAAACCGAAGACTCTTTTACAAAAACATGTTTCAAACGATCAACGGTGGCTCCGTTCCATTGACAATTCCACAGATGTGCAATACCCGATGGATATCAATTGAACCAGCGGTCTGCCGTATTCTTGATCAATGGATAGAATTAAAAACCCTGTTTGAAATTGCCAGGCGAGATGAACACTGCTATACGGCAGAAATACTATATAACATGTATAATGATCCACAGAATCATTTGTACTTATTATACATAAGACCTATCTTACAGGAAGTTCAAGTGGTAAACAAGTTGTTTGAAAGTAACGATGTTGACCCAACAAGATTGTACAATGATTTGATTGGCTTAGTGGAATCGATAGGTCGGCGTATTCTGAACCCAACGGCAAGGGTAGATATTTTAACAGAAGACATAGAAAGCTATTTAGATCCGAAACCATACATGGGATATGCTTTTGAGACCAAATTACTTGAATACAATCTTCAGCCTAATGCAGCAAACTATTTACGCCAACGTTGTAATAATTTCACACTGAAACTTGTGACAGAACTACGTTCGAGATTACCGGTTAATTTTAAAATACTTCAGAAGATATCCATGTTTTCAGTTCAAGAGACTTTAAAAGTAGTTAAGCCATCCATTGTCGAAATAGCCCAAGAGTTCCGAGTTAATGCACCTATGATTGAAAAACTGGTATCTCAATGGAGAAATATAGTTCACATTAAATGGGAATCCTTGACTTCCACAGTAAAGTTCTGGAATGAAGTCATGCAATATAAAGATGCAGCTGATAATAACCCCTTTGCAGAGTTATGTGAGTTTGCAATGTCTCTTATATCATTGCCACATTCAAATGCGGACGTTGAACGTGTATTCAGCCAAATGAGTCTGGTAAAAACAAAACTCCGAAACCGTTTGGCGGTGAGAACCCTGAATGCCATTTTGTACGTTAGGTTCGGCCTAAAAAGAGCAGGAAAGTGCTGTTACTCTTACACTGTTCCAGACAATGTACTACGCAGTATCGGAACCAAAGAGTATTACGACTCCGGCTCTCAGCCTTCCACATCAGCTGATGTTGATGAAGATGAAGACCTTAATATTCTATTCCCTTGATTTAATTTCTCAATAAATACTGATACTTCTTAATTATGTTGGCATTTTTTTTGGCATTTTTTAGAGAAGGTAAGCATATTTTTGGCATATTTTTTACACCAGTCTAGCATATTTTGAAGTAGTTGAGTTGGCAACGCTACTCGCACCGCGGTGGGGAGCAGTGGCGGGCTCGCCGGGGTCTCTCCGTTATCAAAATATAGGCTATTGAATCGCCTGGGAGGCGATCATTAGTATTAACGGTAAATTTATTTTTCGTTACTTATTTTGATTTTTGTTTTTTTTTTTTTTAGTATTTAGCCTTCTTATAACTTAGAAAATAGCGGAGAACAAATAGCGGATCTTTTACAAAATGAGAACTTCGATAGCGAAATCGAGGACAACTTGGAAGTCGATCCTTATGACTCTGAAGATAGCGCAGCAGATCCTTATTTCGTGCTATTTCGACTGGAAGAAGACCTACAAAATACTTTAGTAGATGATTCTGAACCCCCAAACATTTATAAACCATATCAAGCCACTAGAAATGCGTCAGATTCATTAGTTCCTGCGTCACAAGAAGAACAAACAGCAGAAAATCTTATTATTTTGCCTTCTGCGTCGACTGTGAGAGGTAAGAACAATTAATTATATTTGGTCTAGAGAAACATCTAGTAGGTCACGATCTATGAGAACCTGAGAACCGCTGCCAGGAACGTAGTCCATATTTCTCCCGGCCCAAAGCTGGATGGTAGAGATGTCATTAGACCATTGAACTGCTTTGAAAAAATTTTTACTTCAGATATGATGGATGAAATTCTCCTACGCACTAATGAAGATATTTTAGTCAAAGCCAGCAAATATAAACAGCAAAGTTCGACCATATCACTGACAAGAATAGAAGAACTTCATGCACTGCTTGGTCTTATAATTTTCAGTGGTGCTATGGGTAATAACGATTTACCGACCAGATAGCTTTTTGATCCCACACTTTGTGGTTCAAAATACATAGCTACAATGAACTTGGAACATTTCGAGTTTCTCTTACGCTGTCTTCATTTTGATGACCACAGCACCCGTGAAAACAGAAGACAGAATGACAAATTTGCACCCATCCGAAACATCTGGGAGATATTTATACAAAGATGTAGATTTTTACAAGCCATGCGCCTACATAACCATCGATGAACAGCTGCTTGCTTTCAGAGGTCGATGTCCATTCAGAATGTACATACCGAATAAACCAGCCAAGTAGGGCATAAAGATAGTTTTGGCTTGTGATGTGAACAGTAAGTACATGTTTGATGCTTGTCCCTACTTAGGAAAAAACGCTGAAACTGCCCTGGCCAAACTTCTTGGTACTCATTACCGCAAACTGCTTACAAAGACTATTTACAGGAGCAACCGTAACATCACGGCAGACAATTGGTTCACATCGGTACCTCTAGCTGAGCAACTTCTGGAAGATCCGTACAATCTGACATTCATTGGAACAATAAAAGCCAATAAAAAAGAAATACTATCTGAGTTCAAACACAATCCATCACGTCGTGTCGGTACATCTATGTTTGGTTTTCCCAAAAACTCACACTAGTTAGTTTCAAACCGAAATCCCAAAAAACAGGCCTTCCCGTCCACAATGAACCGGTAATAGATCCCGTAACGAAAAAGCCTGAAATCATTTTGTCTTACAACAAAACTGAAGGCGTTGTGGATACATTCGATCAAATGTAAAACAAGACGTTGGCTGCTGTGCCTATTCTATGGGATGATCAACATGGCTGTATTGAATAGCTACATACTGCACGTATCCAATTCGAAGGCTCGCGGGACTAAGCCAATGAACAGAAGAGAGTTCATGAAAGAACTGAGTTATGTCGACTGTGTTGTGAACTGAGAGGTGAGGAGCGAGCGAAAATGAGGAAACTAGTTAGAGACGCTATACAAGAGGTTTTGGCTCCCGAAAATCATCCAACTGTGCCTGATCCAGGTATAAAAAAGGCAAGAAAAGTATGTGTAGTTATTGCCCAGCTAAAATCACATCAAACTCCAAACTGCAGTTCCTGTGACAAAAAATTAAAGACTGACTTCAAATTAGTCTATAGACAAAAATGTGATGTTACCGTAATTTTAATTTAGTGTTTTATAAAGTTTATATATTGGATAATAATATTGATCCCAAAAAGAGCACAAACATAATAGTAATTTTTTTTATCACTCATATAAGAGTGTTATGTTTCAAAAAAACGACGGGTTGGACTTCGGGAGTGTCGGCAGAAGTGAAAACTTGAATATTAACGTTGTGCATTTTTGATATTTTGGAATGATTAGAGAATAATTTTGCACGAATTGCTTTATCACACACGAACATTTGCTCAAGCGCCCTGCGCCGACTAAACGAAACAGCAGGCGCAGGCATACATTTTCGCCGCGCCGTAGAAAGAGAGGTAGATACTTCCTCTCCTACGCCGCGCCGGCTGTCTCTCTCTTCATCCGTCTTACGTATTTTCGATCAGGGTCACGTGTCCTGACGCGAGTTTAACATTTTTTACCCATTACAAAAAAGTGTACAAAGCCGCTAAAGAATTTTTCGCTTCAAAAAAAATGTTTGTTATTGTAAGATTTAAGTCTTATTTTAAGACTAATGTTGATTATAACAAATAATTTTTATTTTAGTTTTTAAAAGGGTAGAGGTTTCCCAAATAATTAATATTATTTTTATAAAAATGTAATAAATACTTAATACATTTGTGTTTTTTAAAAAGGATCCTCCCGAGAGATCATTAGTATTAAGCTGTAGTAAATTTATGTTAGTATTCTGGGGTTAACCACTTTGGAAGGTTCTTCCCAACGATCTTGTAACCTCAGCCTCTCACCCTTTTTCCTGAGATGACTATGCAACCATACAAGAGTTTTTACATCAAATCTCTTAGTGTTTGCCTCCGATTATAACAAGTCTTCTCCCCCTCACTAGTCAGAAGTTCATTTCTGGTAACATTTTGCTGAAACTATAGTTTCTTAGAGTTCTCAGTGCAAGTTCTCCTTGATAAATTGATGGCATTGTTGTAGCCTAATGATTTCTTATATTTATGTGAATAGTACATATTATATGAAACTAATTTTTGAATTTTATCGCATTTAATTTAGAATTTTTAATACCCGACGTTGCAAGTGCTTTACAGCACCCATGGTCACATGGGTATGTGTTAGCTGTTTGTGTAGGTTATAGGAAAAAGACCCACACCAACCAAGTTGTATCTCGCCACCATCTGCCTCAGTTAGCTACAGAGGGAAAATCTTTGTTTCAGACAGAAAATATCTGGCCACCGAGCTTCAGCACTTAAAGCAAGTATTACAAGACAATAAGCTACGAGTCCAAGCCTACCTTACAATGACTGAGTCAAGCTGGTCACAGTTGGACGTGTACCTGTTGTACTATATGTCAGAGGAGTCACAGACAACATTGGCTACATCTTGAAGCAATCCATTAAATCCTACTACAAGCTGTCAAAGATTATTAGTAAATTTTACCATCCATCAAGTGTAATATCTCTCTACAAGATGCAGGAGTGTATAAGCTTGAATGTGGTCTTTGTTACATAGAACAAACAAAAAGATGTATTAAAACCCGCATAAAAGAACATATAGCTGACATGAAGTACCGAGCTTCCAGAAAGTCTGCAGTCATGTGTGAACATGTTCGAGATTGTTCCCGCCATTACATCAGGTTTGACAGCCCACAAAACCTCGCAAAAGAATATAGATTCCTACCAAGGATGATTTGTGAGGCTATTAAAATTAAAAACGTCCTAATTTTAACAGAGAAGATGAATGAATAGGTTCTCCCCAATCTTGGTGCTTCTGCTTGGGATCGTATAATTAACTAAAATTAAATCCAAACCCAAGTATACCACTGCAAGATTTCAAGATACTGGAAGCTTGTTCTGCGTAGAAACGGACCAAAATATAATATTCATAAGCTTGAGGTAGCCGAGCCAACTATGACATCGAGATGTCAACACTTCAGTATCCACCCCCATGACCATGGGTAAAATCAGTTTCATTAAGCCTTTCTACGTCAATTTAAGATTATTTTTACCCTGGCAGTAGTGGCACACAAACTCTTCTTCACTTTAGCTAGGACTTTTAGTAGCATAAAGGCCTTTGATCATTAAACTTTACCACGGCTGGTTCCTCCTAGAAACACTTTTTGATTACAAAATTTAACACTCCTTGATCAATGTTTAGAATGCACTGCAAATTTTTTAAGAAATCCAGTCTTAAAATGCTGTTGTTTTTGATACTGGCAAATTTTAATGTCCATGTCACCAAATATTGGCACCGGTTGGCCAGTAACTGTTCATACACAAGTCCACTGCTGAACATAGGACTCCCACTAAGTAATGCCATAAAGTACGGTTCTACATCCATCAACTTCCTGCATCTCTTCCGAGATTGACACTACATTTATTGGGAGTCCGCCCTTCACTTCACTTATCGATATGAGGCTGCCACTCGAGAACCTTCTGTTCCATAGGCTGTCAGTTCTTCGAGCTATATGGCCAGCCGATTGTCACTTTAGCTTACTGATTGGTTGTGCTATGTCAGTTTCTTGGCTAAGTCCAAATCTATCATGCATAGAAACTCCAAACAAAACTCGTTGTGCTAAATTGAGCTTCCTCATAGGGCCAGAAGTCAAGGACTACATCTTGGATCTTTGTCATCACTGGCAACATGCACTGGTTGTACAATAATATTTTTAAGTTTTAAGGTATATGTGACGAGAAGATGTATCGTAAACTCCCAAACGCTGCCCAGCCGAGTTGAATCCACTGCAGGAGACACTACTGAGATTGTTGAGCATTATTCCGACATCCTCCAGTGATTTGCCATAGACTATATCATCGGTAAAATGAAGGCAAGTGATGTACTTGTCATTGATGTTGATACCATATCCTTTCCATTTCTGTAACTTGAATGTCTTTTAATGCAGTGGTGAAGAGTTTATAGGATATAATGTCACCCTGTCTTACACCTCTCTGCAGTTGAATAGATTTACCATACTCTAGTTCTGTACTTGGATAGCCATTGTATTTGCCTGTTTCATGTCATATCAGCTAAAGACAGCTTTATTTCCAATCTAATAGTCATGAGATTAAAAGTGTGATAATAAAGTGTTTTGGTTCTTCTGCAACAGGTCTTGCAGAACTTTTCTCCGACTATATGGACAGTTTCCACCAATTTATCATTCATATTGCCCATTATATTGCAATTTCTAGGCACTGAAATGAATTTGTAGCTCGAGCAGTTTTCAGGACTTTAGATAGGAGGTTGAGAGGGACGGTACTATGTACATATAATATATAAATAAATACATACATATAAATATGCAAATACCAACCTCTTGAAGTATTATATTTCTACTCTTCATAAATATACTACTACTCTACTCACTAAAATCGACATTTGGCAAATGTTAAACAAAAGTAACTTTGAAATATTCCTCTTACACCCCACTCAGCTTTACAATGGTTAAATGACAAATATACAGATTCACAGCATCCTGGGGTCTTATCCCTATAGGAATAGCCGCATATGATTATGTTTCTAAATAAGGTATTGTTTTCATTACAAGCATTTTGTGTTGATGTATGTGGTGTAAAACAATTTTTTTTATATAGGGTAGGGTGACAAACGAGCACACAGTCCACCCGATGGTAAGTGATTGCTGCTGCTAATAGACATCTACATCTATCGTCAATTACAATTAAAAATGCAGATGCGTTGTCACCCGTGAGGACTAAGATGGAATGCCTCGTTTCCAGTAAAAAGAGTCTCCAATTCTCTACACTCACCATACGAAACTGCAGCATTAAGCTACTATTTTACGCTGGTCTGTGAGAGCGTAGTCCTTCCCCAGTAGAGTCGACCCAATCGTGCTACAACTATACTACTAATATAACTGCAGCATGGTT